GTTCGCATCAGGGGTCGCTTTCACCGAGACATCTCTTGCACTGGGGAGAGGACCCCCATCAGAAGCAATCCGTGGTAAGCTCAGTCCTGCAGAAGAGAGTATTGCTATTAAGCTTGTATATTAGAAACCTGAGTAATTTATGGTCTATTACGTCATTTCATTAAGTAGACAAGGCTTATATTGAGGATGGTGAACGTAAAGAATGTGTGTTCAGATCAATATTTTGAGTACATATCGCAATTGATCTGTTAGAAATTTGGGAGGTACTTTGTAGACTTTTTTAAATTCTAATTTATTTAGCCTTTAAACGGTTTGCTTGTTTGTTTTGAATTTCGCGCAAAGCTACACGAGCGCCATCTGCGCTAGCCGTCCCTAATTTAGCAGTGTAAGATTAGAGGGAAGGCAGCTAGCTAGTCATCACCACCCACCGCCAACTCTTGGGCTACTCTTTTACCAACGAATAGTGGAATTGACCGTCACATTATAACGCCCCTACGGCCGAAAGGGCGAGCATGTTTGATGGGACGGGGATTGCGAGTTGAGCGCCCTAACCACCTGGCCATGCCGGGCCACCTTTAAACGGTTTTCTAACAAGACCATTTCTTCTTTAAGCGATTATCTAGAGTCACTTCTTTAAACTTTAAGTACAAATGTCTTCCTTGAACGACCTTCTAGAAACTAATATTTTCTTTAAGCGATTATCTAGAGTCACTTCTTTAAACTTTAAGTACAAATGTCTTCCTTGAACGACCTTCTAGAAACTAATATTTTCTTTAAGCGATTATCTAGAGTCACTTCTTTAAACTTTAAGTACAAATGTCTTCCTTGAACGACCTTCTAGAAACTAATATTTTCTTTAAACGGTTATGTAAAGCCTTTTTTTTCTTTAAGCAATTTTTCTAAGACAGTTTCTTTTTAAATATTTTTTAATGCCAGTGCCTTTCGTATTTAGATAAACAGAGCTTTGTTATTTAACTATACATATTCATAAACACACGAGGGCTTCCTGTAGAACTTGCCGCGTTTTTTCTTCTCTCAGTGCCTCTTCTATCCACAAACAGAGAGAGAGAGAGAGTCAATGTACTGGATAGATAATTTCATCAAAGATCATCCAGATGAAACAGTCTTCCTATTCAACAAAATGTCCCACGTTAACTGATAGCTTCTGTTAAGGTTTAAATTTATGTTAATACCTTTTCGTTATTCATATGAGTATATTTACTTCCCTCTTTAAGGTTCAACATACCAGTTACAAATACTCACGGTCTTACAAAAATAGTATTTGTTTTTGTTTTTTCGTTATTCGCAATTACTGCTCTGTGCTTGCAATAGGAATTTGCTGGAGATGGGAAGTGTGTGTTTTTAGAAACGTCCAATAGCGGTATTATTATTATTCACCCCTTCTGTGGTTGCGTTTTCATTATAAGTAAACGTCGCGTTACAATAGGAATAACCTCCTAATCCTTTGTTCGTAGCTACAAAACTCATCATTCGAAACATGTTTAAAAATAAATCGTGTTATTCGAAACACGAAAGAACATGTAATACAACTCAAGATTAATTTTATACTGTTACGAAATATTTAATACGATAAAGTCCTGATGAAGGACACACCTAAAAAAGGGGGAATATAAACACTCTGTATTTATAAACGATGTTATACGTCTAAAACGACAATTTACTTACCATCGGCATAATTTGGTCGAAGCAGACGGATGAAGGCGGTAAAAGATTTGCCCCAGGTAGGATTGCGCAAGTTGTTACAGCTGCCGTCTATGGTACGGTACTTTGTTGACGGACAAGGAGGTTCAATGGGACAAACAGAATTGGCAACAGTGCCCTTCAAACTAAAGTTAGGAAGACTGTCCCTTACCTCATTGGCACTCTGGCCTATCCTAGAAAGTGAATCGTTTTAATTAAGTTGATGAATAATGACTACGAAGAAACACTCAAAAAATATGTTCGTCCTTTATATGCACGTTACGTCTAAATCTGTGTTATATTTCGTTTCGTTATCTACAACAACGTTCGAAGCACGAGCAGGACATTCCAGTGGGGAAAAAAAGGGGGGAGCAAAATAAAAACAAAATTACATACGATTGAGATTATTTTGTTCTGAAAACATACAGTTTCAATATTTAATCTGAGTGTGTTTTATTTTTCGAAGATAAAAATTATTCTGGCTAAGATATTTATAAAACTTTCATTTTCTACAAACTCGTCACGGGAGCTTTACCTCTTTAAACTGACGACTTGTTTGTATACTCTTAACTTTCATGAAGTACGTGCGTTTCATTCACCGTATTGATTAACTTTATGTTTTTAACTCTACAGTTAAAGCTGTAAAGAGCTGACCATAAACAAACGTATATAAACATTTATAGAAAACGAGCGATTTCGCGTAATTGAATTAATAACAGTATTGATGTTTACATTTTATTGTATGGCTCGTGTGCTATTATGATCCCCGTAACCAACAAAGTCTTGGACCCACCAAAAATGTGGTGTATAAATAGTATCGAAAAATGCATTTAAAATACCTAGGGTTAATAATAAATTCTCAAAGTTAGATAGTCTTACCTTTTGGCCAATGTTTCAGACGCTCTCAGACCAACGAATCCGTTGTTTCCCAGCTGTTGGATGATTCTTTTTGTTCCAAAAAACGCCTGATGAAAAGATGTAGATGTTCCTTTTTGTACAACTAAGCCTGGATAAAAAAAAAATTGATTTAACGAGGCATTCAAGAAGAAATTTATAGGAAATAAAATATTCTAGAATTAAATAAGGGTTAGAGGTCAAGGGTTTTGAATTACTGAATAGAATGAAACAGCCAGTTTGTCTAGTTTTAAACGAGACTTAGTAATTTTAAAGCTCCCATAGATTACCCAGTTGTTTGAGTTCCAATTCCAAAGCTTGCAGTCCTGCTAAAGCTTCCTGTCCAGCTTTACCTGCGTCGTCTAAATCATTTGAAGTGATCTGGTTTGGGATGATCCCTGATGGAATGAACGAGGCCGAGGCCGGGATACTAATCGGAACTAACCAAAAAAATAATAATAATAATAAGATTGTATTTTATTACTGTGATAACGAAAAAGTTATAATTATTTCTCATAGCAATAGATGTGAATTATAAATAATAACTAATATAATCAAAGTGTGAAGTTATTTAATATGAGCTGAAAGAGATTATTTATTTTCTGCACATGCAAAAATAAAGAAAATACATTCACACACACGATTTCAGCATTTAAAGAAGAGGAAGAATAAACCGAGAATTATTTTGTATTTTAATATCGGTTCTAGAGACTCTACAAAATATATCAATGTATGCCTAATTTTTATTAACTTTCGATCAGAGCAATATGTCCAATAGGATCAGAACTAGAAATGAGTATAAGTAATTGACTATAGTTTTATTACTTATAAAGATTAGAAGGTATTGTTTCGTTAGAGGGATACTCTCGCTGTTAACGATATTTTCGGTCGTAAACCCAACAATAACTCACAATGACTGAGTAACTTTAGGGGACTTGAGTAACTCCTAAAACGGTCTCGATGTTAAAATTGTAATAATAAAAATATTGATATACTAAACATTATAACCCCCCTAATGAAATTCACATTAAAGAAAGAATACCCACAGAAAATACCCAGGAAAAGCAACAATATGTGCCTAACTTTGTCTACAGCAACATCTATTCAAAAAAGTAACCATAATGCCATTTTTATCCATATAAAAACTAATGTATGCCAGAATTTACTCACGAAAGGTCGCCCATATAGCTGAGCCTATGCATACGTCTAAAAAATATGGTTGCATTTTATAACTACACTAACAGAAGTACCCGATAATACCAGACTTAATTAAATATAATGCTATAAAAGGGGAGCGTATGCCGCCCATCCCATTATTTTAAGCCACAGTACATGAGCTGTCCTTCCGATGTTAAGATACCCGTGCTCCGGGCAGTATTAAACATCACATTCGTTTGGCGTCGGCTTCACGTACTTTTGCTACCGATAGTTAAGCCCTCATTTCCTGCATTAACTGTGGTAAAATTAAAATGGTTGCAAAACACAGGCCATTCGTTCGATTACTTATGCATTTAAATTCGATATTTGAAAGTCATCGAAATTAATTCAGCCACATCCTCACAAAAGCTTGTGACACCAGATCGACAGACAGACAGTTCTGCTTTATATATATAAACTTAGAGGGATTTAACTTAAATCTTAACATAAGAAATGCACATAAAGTACTTGTGGTTTGTCTTCTACCAGTTACTTCATCAGAGCAGCAGATGCCAATGTCATTGTTACTTTGACGACACGTCGACGTTTCTAAATCATCTACACTATCAAACGTAAACACACAACTAGTTGGGTGTTTACAGGTTCCCTGAGCTCCTGTGGACGTGGTACATGATATTTCTTCGAGAGGTTCACTCTGTTCAGGAAAAATAATCGGAGCATCGACTCCAAAATCTGCAAATAACATAATTCAAAATCCAGTTTGTTTGACATTACACATAAAACTAACTACACACACAAATATTTCAGGAGATATCGACAATTATAAGCACAATACAAATGTGCTTTTACTTAAAATTTCTAATCAAGTAGTGATTAATGAAGGATTTGTATTTTATAAGTCAACATAATTGTGTGAAATATGTGTAAAGAGATGGAATAAAGGTTACGACCACAACACATTACAATTATGGTGTATGAAACCTTTGTCTTTCTTTTTTGACCTTTTTTTTTCATTACTACAAAATATATTTCTATCCAAACTGACTTCAATCTACATTATAATACTATATGAAATTTTATTTCAGTTGTATGAATTATTAACTGATCTAAAATCGTTTAAAATGATCTACAGAATAAGAAACTGGATGAAACGCAATCCATATTACATTAACTGGAATTATACTATGGATAAAGAGACCAAATATGTTATTGATACACACCTAGCATTTCACGACAATTAGTGAACAATATTATTGATATGCAATTAGTAAACAATATTACTGATGCTCACCTAGCATTTCATGACAATAAGTGAACAATATTATTGATACACACCTAACATTTCATGACAATAAGTGAACAATATTACTGATACACTCTTACCATTTCATGACAATAAACGAACAATACTATTGATACACACCTACCATTTCATGACAATAAATGAACAATATTATTGATACACACCTAGCATTTCATGACAATAAGTGAACAATATTATTGATACACACCTAGCATTTCATGACAATAAATGAACAATATTATTGATACACACCTAGCATTTCATGACAATAAATGAACA